TCCGGCTGCTGAGTTCCCCCAAAACGCCACCCCTTTCCACCCCTCCAGTCCTTGGGACGGGCTGTATCCTTGCCCACCTGGAAAGTCCTATCCTTCCAGCAAGAGTCAGCTCATTGCCCTCTTTTCTGAAGCCTTCTCTTTTGCAGGGCCCACCCCCCTGGTCAGCCCAGCTGAACCCTTATCTCCCTGTAGCAGAGGGTTTCTTCCTGTTCTGTGTCTGCCTCCCCGCCTCCTCTGTGAGCAGCCTGAGGACAGAGTCTGTCTTATTTATCTTTGGTTCTCAAGGTTCTGGGGTGGGCCCCACCTCATACCCGGCCCAGCTGGAGGAAGAAATGGTGGGGAACCGGACACCACATCAGACACTTAAAGGACCAGAAAGGCTAGAGGAAACGCCCCACTCCCCTCATCTATTCTTGGCCTAAATGGCTTCTCTCATCTGGCCCCAGAATGGCCAGAGAGCCACTCCCAGTGGAAACCACAGTTTGGGATGGAAGACTGACTTCTGCAGCTTTCCTAGGGCCAGGCCCAATGACCTTGGAAACGGCTTCAGTGTTATTTAAACGGCAGAGCAGAGTCTATGCGCAGCTCTGGCTGGACCTGGGTGGGGGCAGCCTGAATCAGGATCATGCTGGAGCCTCCCTGCCCGACCGCCAGGACCTCAGGGGTTGGGATGTATGGTTCCTTCTCAGCAGCTTCCTACTGTAGTGGCAGAGAACAAGGGGGTGAAGGTATGTTTTGTGGCAGCCTGAGCCTGGATGTTTATGTTTCTGCTTTAATATGCAGCCTAGGCTGAGGTCCTCAGAGGCTCTGCCAGCAGGCTCCCAGCCAGGACTGGCTAAAGCTGGAGGAGCCCTGCTTATCTCAACCACCTCTCCCAACTCACTAGGCTTCTTCCGGAAAGTTGATGGAGTGCTTGAAAGCCCCAGGATCTTTGCTTGACCTGCTCATCCCTATCCTGGGAGTAGCGGACTCCAGGCTGCTGGCAAGGACTCTGCCACGGCAGGCAACTTCTGCTTTTCTTGGCATCTCAAAGGGCACTGCCTTGGTGTCCCCACCACAGAAACCAGAGCCTGGAATAGAAACAGGGATACCTGGAAAAAAATCACCCAGGCTTCAACCCAGTGTGGTCTGTCCATGGTCAACAATATTTACAGAGGGTTAGGCACAGCACTGGGTATGGTGCTACAGATGTGAACAAGCCCCAGCCCCACCCTTAAGCAGTCCACTGAGCACAGGCTGCTGTAGGAATACAGAAGAGGGGAACTGACCTAGCCTGGTTCAGTGAAGGCTTCCTGGAGGAGGTGACATCTAAAGTAAGACTTGAAGAGGGCGCCAGGGTGGTTCAGTCGGTTAGACATCTGACTCTTGGTTTTGGCTCAGGTCATGATCTCAGGATTGTGAGACCGAGTCCCTCATCAGGCTCCATGCTTAGCAGGGAGCCTGCTTGAGATGCTCCTTTACCTTCTGCCCCTACCTCCCTTCTCTCATATAAAAAATAAATAACATTTTTTAAAGATTTTATTTATTTGACAGACAGAGATCACAAGTAGGCAGAGAGGCAGGCCGGGGGTAGGGGTAAGCAGGCTCCCCGCTGAGCAGAAAGCCCGATGTGGGACTTGATCCCAGGACCCTGGGATCAGGACCTGAGCCGAAGGCAGTGGCCTAACCCACTGAATCACCCAGGCACCCAAAAATAAATAAAATTTTAAAGTAAGACTTGAAGGCTGAATGAGTCCAATTGGGGAGAGTGAGTGAGAGCAAACAACATACGCAAAGGCCCAAGCTCAAAGAGAACCTGGCACCTTAGGGGAAATTGCACGTAGTTCGTGAAGGCTGGGGTCTGATGAAGGAGAGGTCGTTTGAAGGTCTGGATCATGAATAACATGAATGTATGTAAAGTGTTAGACACAGTCCATACTCAACGCTCTGCCATGGTAGCTCCCCTTATAATTACGACCTTGTAAACCAAGTTAAGGATTTGGGAATTCATCCTGCAGTCAGTGGGGAGATATTCAAGGGTTTTAAGCCCAGGGTGATGTGAACAGATTTTCCATATGACCAGATTTAAAGAGATCTCTGTGACTGGACGGGGCATTATGGACTACGAGAGAAGCAAGGGTGGAGGACAGGAAGAGCAATTTGGAGAATGGTTTTAGTATTCACTCATCCATTCAAATATTTACATACTTAATGGCTTAGTTCATTTATTTAAATATAATAATTTTGTTATTATCTATAAAATTCAGAAAGAAGGTATGGGGTGGGGGGCTTCAAATATCTCCCAACAGTAGAGTAGATAAATATCCATTGGAAGACAGAATACAGCAATGAAAATGAACTATAGCTACATGCAACAACATAAATGGGTTTTCCAAGTCCAATGTCGAGCAAAAGAAGGCCAACACAACAGGGGACTGTAGAATTCCATCTGTATACAGTTCAAGGAACAGGCAAAATGAAACTGTAGTGTTTAGGGATACACGCTTCCGTGGTAAAACTACACAAGCAAAGAAGTGGTTACCACAAAATTAGTGGTGATTCGTGCACCCGAATGTTTATAGCAGCAATGTCCACAATAGCCAAACAATGGAAAGAACCTCGATGTCCAACAACAGATGAATGGATAAAGAAGATGTGGTATAGGGGCGCCTGGGTGGCTCAGTGGGTTAAGCCTCTGCCTTCAGCTTGGGTCATGATCCCAGGGTCCTGGGAACGAGCCCCACATCGGGCTCTCTGCTCAGCAGGGAGCCTGCTTCCCCCTCTCTCTGTCTGCCTCTCTGCCTACTTGTGATCTGTCAAATAAATAAATAAAATCTTAAAAAAAAAAAAGACATGGTATAGATATACAATGGAATACTATGCAGCCATCAAAAGAAATGAAATCTTTTTTTTTTTTTTAAAGAAATGAAATCTTGCCATTTGCGACGACGTGGATGGAACTAGAGGGTATTATGCTGAGCGAAGTAAGTCAATCAGAGGAAGACAATTATATGATCTCCCTGATATGAGGAAGTTGAGAGGCAACGTGGGGGGTTTGGGGGGTAGGAAAAGAATAAATGAAACAAGATGGGATCGGGAGGGAGACAAACCATAAGAGACTCTTAATCTCACAAAACAAACTGAGGGTTGGGGGGTGGGGGGGTGGTTATGGACATTGGGGAAGGTCTGTGCTTTGGTGAGTGCTGTGAAGTGTGTAAACCTGGTGAGTCACAGACCTGCACCCCTGGGGCTAATAATACATTATATGTTAATTTTTAAAAATAAATAAATAAATAAATAAAGGAAAATACAACAACAACAACAACAAACTAGTGGTGATTATGCTGTGCTTGATGATACCTTGACCTGAGTGATGTTCATATGGGTCTTTGCTCTGTGACAGATCATCAAGGTTTACATTTCCGTTTTGTGCACTTTTCTGTATGTGTGCTATTCTCTCTTGTCTTTTTTAATATCTTATTTATTTGACACAAAGAGAAAGAGTAGAGGCAGGGGGAGCAGCAGGCAGAGAGAGGGCGAAGCAGGCTCTCCGCTGAGCAGGGAACCTGATCTGGCTCCATGGAAGGACCCTGGGATCGTGACCTGAGCCGAAGGCGGACGGTTAACCGGCTGAGCTTCCCGAGTGAACTGGTGCCCTGTTAAGGGAGGCTTGGCTTCACCTACTGGGCCTATACAGGGCCGGTTTGTTTTTGGAGGGCTCAGATCTTCTCGGAGCAATCCTCATAACCCCGTGAGGCGGTAACACCTAACGTTTTTAAAGGCCAGGTACCACATGTGCTGGGTACTTCACAGGCCCAGTTAATTCTCTCCAAACCTTTACAAGGCAGGTGGACTTACCTTCCATTAGAGGAAACCAAAGCTCAAAGTGGTCCAACAGCTCCCTCAAAGCCACACATCTAGGATGGAGGAGCAGGGCTCTAAACTTAGCCGGACTGATGAATTCCCTACTTCCTACTGCTGCCTCCCGTTTTGGTGGCACTCCCCCAACCCCACCTGGCTGCACCGGGCTAGGCACCGCGGACGGCAGAGGCTGCTGCCCAGCTGCGGTACCAGCAGCTTCCGGCTCCGCCTGGTAAACGCCAGACCAACAGCAGGTGGCAACCTTGTGTTCCTTTCAAGCTCCTGCTGAGAGGTCAGTTTAGTAAAGCGGCCCGGGGGCGGTGGAGTTAGCGGGTCGCTTTGCCCCTACCCAAGAATCCCGCAGGGAGTCGGGTATAGGTAGGTATAGCAACTAGGTATAGCAACTGCATCTCCTGCTGGGCTAACTTTGGTGGCCGGTCTGAGCTCTCAGCGAGGCTTAGCACCGCAACTAGTAGCCACAGGTATGTCAGTGTTGGGAGAGCCCCCCTGATGCTTTTAGTTAATAATTTCCTAAATTTGCCAAAGTCGTTTATTATGTCTCCTGCGGCTGTTTTGAGTTTCTCCTACTCAAGAGCACTTAGAACTTATGTAGCCTCACTATGGGCGAAGGTTCGATTTGCATGCATCCTGGATATGGAAAACGGCTGGAAAGCATTCTTGGCACAGAGACGTCAAGCGACTGGACGTTGAAGGGGCAGAGCCCAGCCGGAGCTAGGACCCGGGTCCCTGCTACGCCCAGAGCAGCGTCACCACAGCCCCGCCCCCGGGTGGGCGTCTTTGCAGAGCGCCCGCAGGTTCCCAGCCCGCCCCGCGCCCCCCGGTGCGCATTCTCAGTCCGGCCCCGGCGGTGCACCTCCCACCCGGGTCCTCCATCCCCCGCGAGTGTGCTCGTGGGGGGAAACTGAGGCTGGGAGCGTGCTTGTGAGCACGTTCTTTCCTCAGCCGACACCCCACAAACTGCAAAGCTGCCGTGCCCTCCTGAGACCCGCATGGAACAGCAGAGAAGGGCGGGAGGAAGGGGAGGGGGCCGAAAGCAAGCAGGGTCTGTGGAGTCGGCTGGTCCTGCCACACTCAAGATGGCGGCGCGGCAGCGGCAAGGTCCCTCAGAGGCGGTACCAGCGCATGCGCAGCGCGGAGTCCCGGCCCGGGACACAAGATGGCGGCAGCGGCGCTGGGGAGGGCGAGGCGGAGGCGGCAAAACGGGAGGTCGAGCAGAACGTGTAGCCGCGTCCCCGCGAGTCCGCTTCGGGCAGGTAAGAGCCCCAGGAAACCATGGTCCCGCGGCGAGCCGCTCCGGGGTCCGGGGATCCGAAGCCGGGCAGCGGTGGCCCCTGTGGCGCTTTCCGCTCGGGGCCACCGCTTGCCCTATCTCTGCCGCCGCCGCCATCTTAGGCCCGCGGGTGGGCGGCCAGGCCGGTGGCTTCGGTGAGGGAGGTGGGCCCGGAGAGCGCGGGCGGAGCGGCCTCTAGGGCCCCTCCGCTGCTGCCGCCGCCACCGCCTTTGTGTCGGGCTCCGACTCTGAGTCGCCTCAGCCCGGGGGCGGGAGCGCGCGGTGGGGCGGGGGGCGGAGCCCGGGAGATGGGCTGGCGCGCGCGCGCCAAACAGCCCGCCCCCGCTGTGGTTGGGGGGAGGGGAAAGTGTGCGCGCGCTCGGGTCGGGGGGAGCCCCCTCATTGAGCGTCCCCCGCGCCTGCGCACTTTGCAAGTCCTTTGACTCCGCCCTCCTGATTCAGAGGGGTTCTGATTGGTGCATTACTGAGATGGTCCCGCCCCATCTTTCTCCAATAACCGGGTTCTTTCCCTTCTCGTGCGTTCCTCCGTTTGCGGAGATACAGTTGTTTATTAAGCTGGTCGGCGCTGTGAGACTGCGGTATGCGCGGGGGCCGGGAAGCCTTTGGAAAATAAAAACATTATCTTGATAATAGAGTTATTTCTTACTTAAAGTGTACAATACGCTAGACTCTACGTATAGAGACCATAGAGGTCGAATGAGTCCTGTTTATAAGTCGGAAGGCGTTAGACGGACCTGGACCCCGGGTCTGCCCAAACCCAGAGCAGGTTCTTCGGTCATCGACATGCTGCTCCCAAATCACCTGGGAAATTAAGAAAAATTATTTAATCATAAAAAATTGGTCAAGGTTTGAAGCGGTGTAAAATTTGTCATCGCGTTTCCTGGTCCCGCCTTTTGGAGTGTGTTTAAGAAACACGAATTCTTGTGTATCTCCCCTCCCCATTCCTGACTCCTAGGACGTGAAGTGAGGGACAGGAATCTGAATTGTTTTACAAGCCCTCGTGATGCCCAGTCGCTTTGAAAAAACTCCAGTGTCCCCATTTGGCCTCTAAGCTGTGCTGTTCTTGCTGCCTCTGCGTATTTCAGCTAAGGAGTGCATCAGTGTCACAAGATAATTTGTTGGGGAAACTGTCAAAAGTGGACATATCGTGTTACATAATCCATTAGCATGTATGATTATTATTGTGGTTTTAAAGGATTGACTTTTTTCCCCTCACTGTGGGTGGCTTGGTAGTGTCCCCCCCCCCCCCCCCCCCCCCCCCCCCCCCCCCCCGGCCCCCATCTGATATGTACAGTTGGCCCTTGATCAACACAGGGGTTGGGGCACTGATCGCGGCTCAGCTGGAAATCCCAGTAGAACTTTGGACTCCCGGCAACTTTACTAAGAGCCTACTGTGGACCGGAAGACTTACTGGTAACATAGGTAGTGGATGAACATGGGTTTTGTACATTATGTGTATTATACAGTGTATTCTTACAATAAAGTCAGCTAGGGAAAATCAGATGTTACTGAGAAAATCATAAGGAAGTGTAAATACATTTATAACAGCACACTGCGATGAGAAAACTGCATGTAAGTGGACCCACTCTGTTCAGACCTGTGTCGGTCGTACAAGGGCCAAATGGTATGTCTGCTTTTCTCTTGTCTTAGGGATATTTTGGTTGATAGAAGCAGTTACACAGTTTTTGGGGTCCAGTGTGCAAAATGAAAACATGGGCTCTCTTGTTAAAAACTTTTTTTTTTTTTTAAGATTTTATTTATTTATTTGACAGAGACACAGCAAGAGGGGAACATAAGCAGAGGGAGTGGGAGAGGGAGAAGCAGGCTTTCTGCCGAGCAGGGAGCCCGATGCGGGGCTTGATCCCAGGACCCTGGGATCATGACCTGAGCCGAAGCAGACGCTTAACGACTGAGCCACCCAGGCGCCCCCCCTTGTTAAAAACTTATTAGAAACTTCAAAACAGCGACTGTAGAGCCTGAAACCAGGCGTAGGGCCCTCCACAACACAGGGCTTGTGTGCCTGCAGGCTGCAAGTCTGAAGGTGAAGCTTTTGGTTTGCAGAATTTGAGAAGTATCATTTTCATCCCTTAAATCCCCGATCTCCCACAGTGTTCCTTGCCCTGGGGGCTCCCAACTTGCTCCGCGTCATCGCCCCTCTTGCGGCTGTCCCTGTGCTGCAGCATTTCACAGGTTTGTGACTCTCTCTTCTATTTGCTCTGCAGTTGCTGATGCAAGGAATTTCCTGGGCCCCCGTCCGCTCCACTGCTGACCAGCCCACCCACCTGCGCCGAGCCTGCCTGCAGGCCTCCCCCCGCCTCTGTGGCACCCTGTGACGTGGGGGTCCATCTGCTCGGAGAAGAAAACCCTCTCATGCTAGCGTTGCAGACCCCAGAGGGTGAGAAAAAGAGGGACCTTTTTCAGGCTTGAGACATACGGGCTCAGCCCCAAAGCACCAGGAATCCTTCCTCCCCAGAGAATCAAGCTTTTTATCCCCTTGGTTAGTGGTTCTGAACCTTTTTGTTATCACGGCCCCTTCTGGTTGTATGTATGTCCTCTTGCTTCGTGCATTTTTACTGCCAAACTGTACCGACAAGTAACCGTTTGCTTTTCCCTTTCCAAATTAACGAAGACATCTATGACTGAGTGTACAAATAAAATTAATGTCCCAGTGATTCCTATGATGTTGTCAACAGCCAATCAGAGCTTCTGATCATCATGAGATAATCAGTGTGACCACAAGGAGCTGATAAAATTTCAGCAAGCAAAGATAACTGATGTTTCAACATGCTTTTGTGCCTTTTTGTGGGTAAATGATTTCTTGGGGTGTTGTGACGTATTGAGAACAACTTTGGGATCACCAATCCAATCTTGGTTGGGCACCTAGGAGTCTAACAGCCAGATTAGGAAATCTCTGGCCACCGAGGCTTGTGCTGGATGTACTGGGTGGGTGTGATGGAGAATACAAATCCGAAGGAGCTGACCTGCTTTCTGGTATTTAGAGTAAATTTTCACCTGGGAATTAGGAAGGACTGAATTAGATATTTCTTCTCAGTCCCACTGGTTTCTTTAGCAACAGATTGTTTCCTGCCCTGAAGCACAGAATGAGGCAGCCTCTTAGATGCCATGTCCCCTCCAGGCTGCACTCTGTTCCAGTTAGATTTTATTGGATAGGAACAGGAAAGAGGAGGACTTACTGTTCTTTTTTGGTGGGAATAGCTTCTCAAGCGCAGACCCTGTTCTGTCTTCTGTGCCACTCTGTGCTTTGGAAATATTTGCAGAATGAATAGAATTCCTATTGGGTTCAGGGACCCTGCTGAGCACTCGACAGTAGTGAACTGGATGCAGTTCCTAGCCCTGGGAGTTCTGATCATCTGATGGGTAGACAAACCCCGCTGACAGGATTGAGTGCCACAGTGGAGGTATTCATGGCCCTGCAGAGGGGCTCTGACCACCCTGCTTGGGATGGGGGGTGACATTGGAGAGTCCAGGAATGCTTCCTGGAACATGGAACATCATGACAAGCCAGGTGGGGAATTGGGGAGAGTATGTCAGGAAGAAGGAGCAACAGGAGTGCACCCATTTTCTAGTTGAGGGAACTGCGACTTAGATCCCAGGGCTCCTCTGGTACCACACCAGCCCTCCAGGGACAGGACTGGATGGATATCTTCACATCTGCAAGTGGTCACTGGGGCTCTCAGTGGATTGTAATGGGTGGGTGAGGGGTGGAGCTGACGTCCGTGTCCTGCTGGCCTGATACCCTTCGGTCCTCTGTGTGGCAGGTCCGGTGTGGGTGCTGAGATGGCCAATGAGAATCACGGCAGCCCCCGGGAGGAAGCGTCCCTGCTGAGTCACTCCCCAGGCACCTCCAATCAGAGCCAGCCCTGTTCTCCAAAGCCCATCCGCCTGGTGCAGGACCTCCCAGGTACTGGCGAGGGGCAGGGTAGGGTGGCGGGGTAGGAAGGATGTCTCAGGAGCAGCGCTGACCCCAGCTGGGTTCCGTGCTTGTTTGCAGAGGAGCTGGTGCACGCGGGCTGGGAGAAGTGCTGGAGCCGGAGGGAGAACCGTCCCTACTACTTCAACCGATTCACCAACCAGTCCTTGTGGGAGATGCCTGTGCTGGGCCAGCATGACGTGATCGTGAGTGCCAGCCCAGGGAAGGGCTCCCAAGCAGCTTCTAGCATCTGGGCCTTCCTCAAGTCTATCTTGAGCATCTGTTATGTGCCTAGCCCCATCTTGGGACCTGGGGATACAATGATACACAGACACAGCCCCCACCTTCATGGAACCTACACTCACATAGGGGAGATTGACACGTAAAGAATTGATTGTAATCGTGTGTGATCCTGAACTTGAACTCCATGTTGGGCACTGTGCCTGTGGTGCAGTTGTGAGCAACTGGTCCTGCCCTTGTACGCTCAGGGGGCCCACAATCTGCTGAGGAGCCAGTAGCATCACAGTGTGGCACATGCGTGAAGACTAGCATTGGATTGCACCAGGGACCCTGGTCTGCTCATGGGGAGGGGAGGGGACAGGGAATGCTTCTCCTTGAATTAGCATTTAAGGTGACAAAGTTAGTGAACTGAAAGTTGTCAGAGGGGAGAAGCACGTTCTAGGAGCAGAAGTGTCCACGTGAGGGGGCTGTCTGGCAGGAACATGGGCTTCTGGATCCCTATCAGGTGGGGCAGACTTTCCTTACTGGGCATAATCAAGCAGGCTGGCACCCCCATTTTGCAGATGAAGACACTGAAGGTCAGAGATGGGGAATGACTGGCCCAAGACCTTGAGCCAGTAGGAGGCAGAACTGGACTCAAACTTGATGTGACTTTAGGGCCACCCTGCCTGCTATCACTCATTCTCAGCGTCACCAAAGGAATTTCATCCATAGGGCCTTGCTCTTTAAAAAAAAAAAAAAAAAAGAATTTCTTGAGGTTTTCCCTTTATTCCTCTTATCCTCGTGTTTAAGGAGAAGAAGTTAACATGTACAGAGGGTTCCTCTCATGCCAGATGTCCTATTAAACTGGTCACATTCACGGACTCACTGAATCATTTTGCCAACAGGAGGCTGGGCCATTGTGAAGGTGAGGGAATTAGGAAGGGCCGTAACTCTCCCAAGGTCACGCAAGTGTAAGAGGCAGGCAGGAGTGGAACCCGGTGCTCTTTCTGTATCCTAGCCCCCCTTGCTCTTGGAACAGTAGGAGCAGGGGGCAGGAGGGCATCAGGATTCCGTTTTCGTGGGACTCCTAAGCCACTAGCGCTGGTTGCAACTGTGCTGGTCTCCCTCCACCAGTCGGACCCTTTGGGGCTGAATGCGACCCCACTGCCCCAAGACTCAAGCTTGGTGGAAACCCCCCCGGCTGAGAACAGGCCCCGAAAGCGGCAGCTCTCGGAAGAGCAGCCAAGCGGCAATGGTGTGAAGAAGCCCAAGGTGAGCATCTGCGGGCTGTGAGGGCGCGGCTGGTAAGCGGCTGCCCCGGGCGGGCAGCCAACAGGTTCCCTGCGAGGGCTGGGCAGTGGCAAGTCGGTCAGGAGGGGGCCTGGGGCACAACTCACCACTTTGCCAGTGCAGTAGCCGTAGGCGGGCTCTCCTGACCCTGGTGCCTTTTACTTTTTTGCTCTAGATTGAAATCCCTGTGACACCCACAGGCCCGTCGGTGCCTAGCTCCCCCAGTATCCCAGGAACCCCAACGCTGAAAATGTGGGGGACATCCCCTGAAGATAAACAGCAGGCAGCTCTCCTCCGACCCACTGAGTGAGTCCCTGCCGATCGACTTGAGGGCATCCAGTGTCGATGTGGTCTGGGACCGTGGGGTATGGCGGCAGGCGGGGCACCCCTCCTTCCTTGCCTCTACTTTCTTCTTCACTCCTTTCTGTGCCCCAAGGGTGTACTGGGATCTGGACATCCAGACCAACGCTGTCATCAAGCACCGAGGGCCTTCAGAGGTGCTGCCCCCGCACCCCGAGGTGGAGCTGCTTCGCTCCCAGCTCATCCTCAAGCTTCGGCAGCACTACCGGGAGCTGTGCCAGCAGCGAGAGGGTAACTGCCTCCTGGGCCTCCAGACCCTTGTTTCCACCCACCCTTAGCCAAGAGCTGGGTTTGGGAATGACGCAGCAGAACCTAGCAGTTGAGCGCCTAGGCCTGCTGGAGCCCCAGGTTTGCTAACTGCTTACGGAAAGGGGGTCTGGCATCAGTAACTGCAAAAGCCATCATTAGCACTTCCAGAATGCCTGCCGTCTGTCAGGTATGTGTGAAGCCTTTTCATGTGTCTGTAAGAGGGCATGAAGACCAGGGTACCTGGACCTTGCAGCATTGCTACAAGGAGGAAGTGGAATGGGAAGTCCTCAGTAAGCTGCGGCTTTTATTCATTAGTAAAGAAGCCTGCTTAACTCGCTGAAATGGTGTTTCTCCTTTTTCCTTTTACCCTAAGTAACATTTACTAACTCTAGAAAACTCGCGATTCTCAGTACCTGTGGAGGAGTTGCCTAGAGGCGGGGCTCCTGACGGAACAGGCCGTGCCATTTACTGCTGCCCCTCTGGTGCCCGCATGCCCCCCGTGGGCTGGGCCCGTGTGCAGGCTGCTGACCGAGCCAGACCTTCACCAGCCTGTCTGTCCCGCAGGCATCGAGCCCCCACGAGAATCTTTCAACCGCTGGATGCTGGAGCGCAAGGTCGTGGATAAAGGCTCTGACCCCCTGTTGCCAAGCAACTGTGAACCGGTCGTGTCACCCTCCATGTTTCGTGAAATCATGAATGACATTCCCATCAGGTACAGGTCCAGAGCTGGGGCCAACTTGGTGAGGCGGGGGGGGCGGTGTTGGTGTGTGTGTGGCCATTCCTGTTTCAAAGGGCTCTCACTCTGCCTGCTCTTGGTCCCAGGTTATCCCGAATCAAGTTCCGGGAGGAAGCGAAGCGCCTGCTCTTTAAATACGCAGAAGCTGCAAGGCGGCTCATTGAGTCCAGGTTTGTTCTCTCCTGTCCCCAGCAGGCTGGGTGTGTGATCAGAGTGGGTTGGTCTTGGGCTCTCTGGCCCATCTCATGGAGCTCGGCATCTTTGTGGCAGGAGGCGGCTCCCAGAGGCAGCACAGGGGCTGTGAGGGCTGCCTTGATGCCCGAATGTCAGTGGAGGGGTTGGGGGGGGAGTAAGTGTGGAGCAGCTGCCCGACTGCTGGCTCCATCCCGCGCCCTCACCTGGCAGGAGTGCGTCCCCCGACAGCAGGAAGGTGGTCAAATGGAACGTGGAGGACACCTTCAGCTGGCTGCGGAAGGACCACTCTGCCTCCAAGGAGGACTACATGGTGAGTGGCCCCGGGTAAGGAGGCCGGTGGAAAGGCTCTAGTGGCTCCTTCCTTCAGCTGCCTGCCTAGGCTGGGCAGGGGCCCCCAGCAGACCTTTGATGCTTGTCGGTCCCCAAACTTCAGCATGTAAAGAGGTTTGTTTAGGCTCCTGGCTCCGTCCTAAAGACGGTCTCCATTGAGGTTCTTAATGGAATCCTGTGCTCAGCCACACACCATAAGGAGCCGCCTTTTCTACTTAATGAATGTTGAGCAGCTCCCCTGGATAGATTTTTGGACACAGATGGACGAACTGCTTTTTCTTGGGTATGTGCACTTGCCACAGCAAAGAGCTGGCGCCAGACTGAATGCCCTGCTTTACGGCGTCCACGGTGATTCCATTTTCTGGCCCAGACCTGTCACTTCTTTAAGTCTCCACCAGCACTAGCAATGGGCTTTCTCTTCAGGACCATTTTTCACAAGAGGCAAGGTTTCGCACTTCACGATAGTAACTGTACTTGACACGTAGAGTGACAAAGGTAGGTGTACTCACTAGCCAGAGTGACTCATTTTCACTCATCACTTTCACACGTGTGATTCAGGAAAATAACAAATACCTAGTTAAATCCTTGCCAGTTGCTAAAAGCTCAGATTTCAAATCTGCAATGACCAAGGACCCTGTTTTGTCATGGTCTCCACTGTGGTAGATGGCAAGTGCTTTATGAGCAGGGACTTTACCTGGTTTGTCTGTCTCCCCAGCAGTTCTCATGGCACCTGGCACGGTGTAACTCCCATTATAGGTGCTGGCATTGACTGAACACTTGCTGTATGGCAGGGGCTCAGTTAAGCCCTTAATGGGAATGATCGCATTTAATACTCAAACTGCCTTACCCGATAAGTACTTTGTGTTCCCTTAACAGTGGAGGACTAAATTCAGAGATGACAAGGGACTTGTCCAAGTGACACAGCTACTGTGCTAGTAGCAGAGCTGGTATCAAAAACGAGGACTGCTGGAACCTACCAGCCCTCCCCCAACAGTCCCCTGGAGCCCTGATCAGGAGTGTCTCCTCCAGGACCGCCTGGAGCACCTACGGAGGCAGTGTGGCCCCCACGTGTCAGCCGCAGCAAAGGACTCCGTGGAGGGAATCTGTAGTAAGATCTACCACATCTCCCTGGAGTATGTCAAACGGATCCGTGAGAAGCACCTTGCCATCCTCAAGGAAAACAACATCCCAGGTAGGGAGCCAATGGCAGGGAGCCAGCTGTGAGACCCCAACACGGTTTCCTGGGCCCTGACTGAGGGGACAAGCGAGGCTAACCGTCCAGGCCACAGGCTGATTTTGGGGAGCCTGTTTCCCCCAGCAGTGTCTGGGGCAGGACCCGCTGTCCTGGGGCTCAGGGGTTTCAGCCCTCCTTCAGGAACTGGAGAAGGGCTGGGGGAAGGGGAAGACAGAAGGCAGTGAATGTGGTGGACAGGCTGGGGGTAAGCAGTTAGGTGGACTTCTCCCCACACTGCAGTCTCGTGCCTGGCCACAGGCTCGGACGTGAACTTGGGTAACTCTGAGCGCTTGGCCCAGAAAGCTCTAGGCCGAGGCCTAAGCAAGCGATGCAGTTCTCCTACTCCTGCCTGGCAAACTGGGGGCCTGTGTCAGTACAGAGCATGCTGGCCTAGGCCATCAGCTCTTGCCCCTGCCAGCTGCCTGGCTGTTAATGTTGTCATCAAACCGTCTGAGCTGCATTCTGCTCCTCTATGGGACAAGACTTACCTCCCCTGGTTACTGGGACCCAGTGCACAGCAGGCATGGAGGCTGTCCGGGGTTCCAGGGTGAGAATTAGTAGAGCCGGGACAGGGTGGCCTCTCACTGCTCTCCTGCCCACAGAGGAGGTGGAGGCCCCAGAAGTGGAGCCCCGCCTGGTGTACTGTTACCCAGTACGGTTGGCCGTGTCTGCACCCCCCATGCCCAATGTGGAGATGCATATGGAGAATAATGTGGTCTGCATCCGGTATAAGGGAGAGATGGTCAAGGTCAGCCGCAACTACTTTAGCAAGCTGGTAAGAGCTGGGGTCAAGGGGAGGCAGGTCGCCCCACCCAGGTGGGAGAGGGGAAGGCTGGCTCCTTCTGGAGCCAGCATCCTCGGCAGGAGGCCAGCAAGGAGGGAGGGGGCGCTGTTGAAGGCCTTTGCTCTCTGTCCCACAGTGGCTGCTTTACCGCTACAGCTGCATTGACGACTCTGCCTTTGAGAGGTTCCTGCCCCGAGTCTGGTGTCTCCTCCGACGGTACCAGGTACGGGCCTGGGGCAGCAGGGGCGGGCTCCGCTGGAGGGCGGGGAGAAGGCTAAGGCCAGGGGGCTGACGGTGGCCACTGTGCAGATGATGTTTGGCGTCGGCCTCTACGAGGGGACAGGCCTGCAGGGATCGCTGCCCGTGCACGTCTTTGAGGCCCTCCACCGACTCTTCAGCGTCACCTTTGAGTGCTTCGCCTCGCCCCTCAACTGCTACTTCCGCCAGTACTGCTCTGCCTTCCCGGACACAGATGGCTACTTTGGCTCCCGCGGGTGAGAGCCGGGGGGCTGCTGGGGCCCTTCTGCCCAGGCCCAGGAAGGACTTCTCTAGAGCAGAGATCCCACCTAGGCCAGCAACTTCCTAATGCTTTCGGGTTTGGGAATTGGGCGGTGTTGGGTGTAGTCTCTGCCTTCAGAACTCTTGCTGTGTGACCTCAGACTGGTCTCTGCTTCCGGGAGCCTGATCGCCCCTAACCCAGCCTGCAGGTTTCTCGGTGAATTAGCCCAGGCTGGGGTAGGAGCACGTGGTCCAGGCACAGAGAGGCTTGGGAAGTGGTACTTCAGACATCGGAGACCTTTCAGACTCACTGGGAGGGTGGAGGGGAGTGAGCCTGGGTGAAAGGAGACCCAGCCTCCAGTTGGAAGACAGGCCTGAGCCAGTAAGGGGAAAAGGCTCAGCAGCTGGGAACTCCCAGCTGGGGCTTGTGCTTTGGTGTCTGAACTGGGATTGAGTCCCTGCCCTTCTACTAAGTGGCTTGGTGGACTTGGCCTCTAAGCCTGAGCCTCTCTATCCTCAGCCCTTCAATGGAGTTGGCCACACCTTGTCCCAGGATGAATTCTGGGTTAATGTTGGCCTAGGGCCTGACCAGGGCCCATCCCTCCAACAATGTGGGGGCAGCACCCATTTCTGGTGGAGGGCCTGGGTCCTGGTGGGACTTAGAATGCTCACCTCTGTCCCCAGGCCCTGCCTGGACTTCTCCCCGCTGAGTGGTTCCTTTGAGGCCAACCCTCCGTTCTGCGAGGAGCTCATGGATGCCATGGTCTCTCACTTCGAGGTTGGTGTGCTGCTGTGGGTGGGGGGCAGGGGTGGCACGCAGGATTGCCAGCCACCTGGAGGGCGGCCTTTGATGTCCACCCCGTGCCCCCTCCCGTAGAAACTGCTCGAGAGCTCACCAGAGCCCCTGTCCTTCATCGTGTTTATCCCCGAGTGGCGAGAACCCCCCACGCCGGCGCTCACCCGCATGGAGCAGAGCCGCTTCAAACGCCACCAGCTGGTCCTGCCTGCCTTCGAGCACGAGTACCGCAGTGGCTCCCAGCACGTCTGCAAGAAGTGGGTGCCCGGGGAGGGTGGGGGTGGGGTGGGGTGGGGGAGGAGGGCCAGGCTGATCATTGCCAGGCCGAGCCCCACCCTGAGCTGTTCCTGTGTCCACAGGGAAGAAATGCACTACAAGGCTGTCCACAACACGGCCGTGCTCTTCCTACAGAATGACCCCGGCTTTGCCAAGTGGGGGCCGACGCCGGAGCGGCTGCAGGAGCTGAGCTCTGCCTACCGGCAGTCAGGCCGCAGCCATGGCTCTGGCTCCTCTTCTTCTTCGGAGAACAAGGACCGGGACTCGGGCCGCGAACAGGGCCCTAGCCGCGAGCCTCACCCCACTTAACACATCCTGCGGGGAGGAGGAGCCCCAGGGTGCTGGTATGGACTGCTGGGACTCAGGCCTCTTGGGGCTGAGCAGACCCCAGGACCCTCCCCCTGAGGTGGCAGCGGGACTCAGGCTGCCAGTGTCATAGGAAGATTATGGCTCTGCCAGGGCTCCCCCTCCCTGCCCGAACCCCCAACTCCTCACCTCAAACTCACTCCGACTCCTGTGTAAATAGGTCCCATCCCTTCCCTTCCTCCCCCCAATCCCAACCATCTTATCGCCATCTTGTTTCATTTGTAAAAGGAAATACAGAAACCCCTGTAAGAATGCGTGAGGGTCTTGAGGGCAGAGAAGGTGAAGAACCTGGAGTTAGTCCTGGAACCACACCCTCTACATTGAGGCTCACCTTCTTAGGATCCCCTGGGTCTTACACCCCAACCCAGGGCTCCAGTGTCTAAGTTCTCGCCCTGCTGGCCCCGCCTGTGTCTAGTGAGTCTGGGGTCCAGAGCCCTGCGTCATCTGTCGGCAGGCCCCGGACTCCCACAGCCAGGCCTGCTGTCCTACCTCCCGGGAGCAGAGGATGGGGGCTATGCCCAGGAACAGAGCTGGACTCCTGCTCAACCCAGAGCCGCCACAGCAAGGGGGTAGCCAGGATTCATAGTCCGGGCTCAGTGGGAAGAACAGCCCGGATCCGCCATGGGTTTCAGGGAATGGTCTCCCTGCAGACAGGTAGCTGGCTGTGCTGCCCTCTGAGGACCTCTAGGCCTGGAGCAGATGTTCTCCTGCGGCCCAGGAGAGGGGAAGAAGGTCTGAAGGTGCTCAGGGGGTTCTTACCAGCTCAGCCATCTCTCCCAGTATCCGGCCTCTGCCCCACGGGCCTGCCCTGCTGCTGGGCACCACCACACTTAAAGGGGCAGGGCGGGACTCACTGTGGGGCCAGGCAGCTCTCCTGAGCTATAATAGGCTCTTCCTTCCATTTCCCAAGTCCTTTCAGACAAAAATAAGATGGTGAGGACTGGACTCTGGTCCCTTTATTGAGACTGAGGGGCCAGTGGGTCCATCCAAACAAAAATAAATTTCTCTCCCCAAAGCCTGCCTGCAGGCTAGGGCACCCAGCATGTCCTGGCCAGGGCCCGTGGCTGTCCCCTAAACCCAGCAGCACAGGTCTGGCTCTCTCAGAGTGACAGGATACTGGCTGCTCAGTGTCCAGAGACCCTAGGTGAAACAGGGAAGGGAGTCCCAGCGGGTCCCACTCCCCCCACACCCCCAGCATGGCTGGCCCCAATATCCACAGTGTGTGTTGGGCCCTCGGGGCTCAGTCGTCGGTCAGGGTGATGACGTCGTACTCGATGCCCTGGTGCTGCAGCTGTTGGATGTGTTCAGGCGCCGCCTCTTCTGCCCCAAACAGGCCCTGGGCTTGGGCCATGGCAGCATCGGCCACTGCTGCCAGGGGAGGGGAGAAGACGGTGAGCCTGAGGCCCCAGAAGCTCGTCCTGGGTCCCCATGGGCGTCAGGCTCCCGCCCCGTACCTGTGACAGCTGAGTGTGCAGCGGCCTCCAGCTGGGCCTGTGTGACCAGCTGCTGGCCTGGGGACACAGGCACATACTGGATCTAGAGTGGAGAAACCAGTGAGATACGGCCTTGGAGAAGCTCTGCCTGTGCCCCAGCTCCGTATGATCCCCCCCAGAGGCCCTACCTGGGACTCCTGAAGGAAAGGGGCCCCTTGTTCATACTGGATGTGTGTGATCTGGCCTTCCTGTACCTGCAAAGGGGAAGGCGATGTGGTGATTGAGGAGGCTGTACACCCTTCCCCTATCCTCCCCTGCCCTCCCCTGCCCAGGCCCGGCCTACCTGGATGTGATGGCCCTCTGGAACCACCACGTATTCCTGGGGGAGCAGGTGCTGGACTCCATCCTGGGAGATGATGTACTGTACCTGGAGAAGGGTGGAGAGGAGGCAGGTGCGGAGGCCTTGCTGAACTGGGAGCTTAGCAAGGAAGACTGAGCAGGGGGCCAGGGTCACCCGCCATCAACAATGGCGGCCACAAGCGCGAACCCAGGGAGCGGTGGTTTGGAAAGCACGGTTCCTCCCTGAAGTGGGGCCTGGGGGCAGGCGGAGGGAGGGCAGTGCTGGCCGAGGTGCTCACCTGGTTGTCGGAGGTCACCAGGTGCTGCACTGTCTGGCCATCTGCAGTGGTGATCTCCTGGATGTAGGTGGCTTCTTCCTGCCAGGACCAAGCCAGCTCCAGCCTCGACTGTGTGCCCCCACCCTGGCCCGTGACTTCCCAGCCCAGGCGCTCACCTGATTGGTCACGGTCTGCTCTTGGGCCACAATGATGTGTTCCTGGCCTAGTGCCTGCTGCAGCCGCTCTGGGCCCAGGACCCCGTGGCTGGACTGGAGTGCAGCTGGGCAGAGAGGGGAGGGTGCTCACACAGGACTCGGGTAAAACCTGACATACCCCGGGCCCCCCACGCTGGTCCCCCAGGGGCAGCTCACTGTGCAGTGTGGCCAGCGTCTCGTCGTCACTGTTCAGGATGATGGTTTGGGTGGGGGTCCGGGCTGGGGTCCGGGCAGTCGGTGTCCCCGTCTTTCTCCCATCAGGACTGTGCAGCCGCTGGATGTGGAACTTGAGATGCCCGTTACGGTTGAAGCTGAGGGGGGCGGAGAGAAGGCTCAGGGGCGGCCCCATCAATGCCTAGCAGCTCCCGCCTGCCTGTCCCTGGCCTCACCGCTGCCCGCAGAGGTGGCACGCGAAGGGTTTCTCATTGGTGTGGGTCAGCATGTGCCGCCGCAGATCCTTCTTGTTCTTGGAGGCAAAGCTGCACTGGCTGCACTGGTGGGGCCGCAGGCTTGAGTGCTGCGCCATGTGGGCCTGGAGAAGGGGCAGAGGCAGGGGCGCTGGCTGGGGGACCACTCGGCACCGCACGGACAGAGCTGTTGGGGAACCTGTCTGCAGGTGGGGACGAGCTGTGTAACAAGTACAAACCAGACCAAGATCTGGCGCTGCTGTGTACAGAGAGAGGAACAAGTCCCAGGGCCCGTCGTTAGGTCACTCAGAAAATCCCGTCCCTGCTCCCAGACTCCGTTTACCCCCGTGTAAACACGAGATAGATGTTCAGATGAGGGGACCTCTGAAGGGCTCTTCCAGCCCTGACGTTCTAGGGTTCTGGGCCCTGCTCCCCTCACTGAGCTGCTGTAAGGATTCAGTGCACAGTTGGATCTGGAAACGATAACCCTTGGGGGGAGGACTCCCGCGCAGAACCTGCCCTCCTTGCCTTTTCCACACTGTCTCCACCGCCTCCCTTGTACCCTGAACGCTCTCTATTCCAGACAACTGGCATTTCCCTAAGCATGCCTCCTGCCGCCCCCCCCCCCCCCGTGCCTCTGCTCCCTCCCTGGCCGGGGTTGGCCAGCGCCAGCACCCCAAGTCCACATGACCTGGTCCCTGTCTGCTCTGCCGCCTGTGGTCTGTTCACAGCACACACTTTGTTGGCATTAGTCACCCTGTCTGGATGGGTTCTCCACCAGACTGAGCTCCCCAAATGATGAGACCTTGTGGAGTCCTCTCTGACCCTAGAAGGGGAAGAGGGCCTGGCTTGCGGGGGAGGGGGGGGGAGTTCAGTTAAGCTCTGTTACACAAGTGGCCAAATGAGTGCCAGGGGAGGCATGGGGGACAGCACCTACCCGGACCTCAGGCCACTGGCGGGCACTGAAGGAGCAGTCGGGGCACTTGAAGGCACTAGGCCCAGCATGGGCCCGTTTGTGACTCTCCATCTCTGCTCGGCCAGGGAAGGCCTCAGCACAGATCTTGCAGGAAAACTTCTTCGATGAGGCCGCGGCTGCAGCCGGTGGTGATGGTGGTACTCCCAGGCTCAGGGCTTTGCTGGCCGCAGAAGGTGGGGAGGCAGAGCCCTGGGGGTCTCCCACCCTATGAGTCCTGGCTGGAGACGGGGGCTCAGGGCCATCTCTGGGCAGCCCCGCACACTGTAGCAGGGGCCACTTGGCTCCGGAGGCCAGGGAATCCGGACTTGGGAAGGAGATGGAACCATCCGCAGTCAGCTGTAGAGAGATGGGGGAGCATGAGGTACTGAGGAAGATGGGGGAAGGATGGGACATGGGGGAGGGGTTGGTACCCCAAGCCTCACCTCGATGTGGTGTAGCTGGGTTCCATCAGCTGCCATGATGTAGTGGGTGCCAGCTTCTTTCAGGGTGTCGCTCACAACCACGGCCTGGGCTGCCTCCCCTGGGGGCTCCTCGCTGTGGGCACCGAAGAGGGGAGGAATGAATTCTAATGGGATGGAAGGAGTCCCCTTCCCCAGAAAAGTCATCAAAGGAGGGGTGACTGCCACCACAGGTGGACTCCCTGGTTTGAATTCCGGCTCTCCCCTTTTCCAGCTGAACCTCAACAGTCTCTTCCATAAATGGTGACTATAGGTCCAACATACTGTCCTGTGCCAGCAGTAGTCATCGGGCTCCCCTGAAGGGCGGGGCAGCAGTGAGGCCGAGAGCCCAGGGGTCCAGGCCAGTCTGGCCAAGTGCGGCAGCAGGAGGGCCGGTGGGGGGAGTGGGGAGGCAGGGCCAGAAAGTACCCAGAGACCAAGAGCAGATGGCAGACGCTGAGACCGGACTGCCCGCCGGCTGCCCGGGGATCCGGATTCCCATCCCAACCACACACTGCGGCGCTATAGTGCTTGGATTAAACGCTTTCTCAGACGGCCCAGGAGTCCAGTGAACATACAAATATTTCTGCCCCGAACTTGCTCCGTGTAGAGGAAGCCGTGTGCAGCTGCCAGGCCTCCAGTGCCAGCGAGGAGCCGGAGTTTGCTTCGAAGCTCAGAACTAGACAGCCCCTCAGGGATCACCCAGAACAGAGAGCACATGACTCTAGAACCAAGGGGTCGACGGCTCACTCACTGCTTGTCTGACCTTAAGCAAGTCAGAGAAACGTGGACCTCACGAGAATGGTTTAAGTGAGTCCCCAAACATTCAGTGCCTGGAACACCTAAGTGGCCAAAAAACAGTAGCTTCCAATCTCCTGAGAAAGACAGGACTCCTATGGCTCATTGTGTTACGTGTGTTAGGATTTTTGCCTCCTGCCAACTAGGCTCGGGTGGGCAGAGCCCTCCCCTGAGGTCTCCCGGCGCACCTACCAAACTAAAGGGGACTTGTAGGCAGCAGGTCTCACCTGTAAGGCGTGCCAGGAGCCGATGTCCCCTCCTCCATAGGGGGTGCTGTGATGACGCTGTAGCCAGTCCCACCGAACGGGCCAGGTGCCAGGGTGATCTGCTGTAGGTCAGGGGTGCCTAGCTGGCTCTCTGCTGCCACGCTGCCTCCCGGCTCTGCCACATGGAGGGTTACCACCTGCGGAGTGGCCCCTGCTGGGGAGGGCTGCCCACCAGGGGATGCCAGCTCTGCTTCCACGTCCTCGGACTTCACCACAGCCACCTGTAACAGACCCGCTGAGCGTCAGGAGCAGGGGCTGTGGCAGAGGGGCTGGTGTTCAGGGCCCTTCTCTACCTCGTGGCCTCAAAGCTTGCCCACACTCAGTGCTCCCACCACTCATTTGTACAATCCCAGCCGTGTGTTCTTCCTAAAGCACCCTCTGGCTCTCCAAGCCCCACCCAGCAACCGGGAATAAACTTAGCAAGACCAGAATAGTGCGACACCGCCCTCCAGGGGCAGCTGGGCAAGTCTGCAGACATTCGTGGGTCTTGCACTTGGAATGCGGCCGGTACTGGCACCTTGGGGTTATCTGTCAGGGATGCGGCTAACCAGCCCACAATGAACAACAGCACAGCGGCTCCCGCAACAAAGAACTATCTGGTACAAAAGGCCAAGACTGAGAAATCCTAGGGTAAAGGGACAAGTGGCAAACCATTCTAGAAAAAAAAGAGCTTGACTTCACATCTTACTCCAAAGTCTGCTTCAAATGGATCAAAAACTGAAACGTAATAAGAGAAAAAAACCTCTAAAAATATGAAGAGAAAATGTGGATAAGTATTTTTATGACCTGGGGTGGGAAGATTTTTTCTAATCAGCAAAACAAACCATAAACTGAAATCAGAAAGCAGAGAAATGTGGTATTTAACAATGCATACAAGAGAGAAAAGTCTCCTTCATATGTAAAGAGCCTCTGCAAAGTGATAATAAAAAGACCAACAGGGGCAGCTGGGCGGCGCAGCTGGTGAAGCGTCTGACTTTTGGTTTCGGCTTGGACTGTGATCTTGGAGTCATGGGACTGGATGGACTTCATGGGGGACTGGACCTCTTGTCAGGCTCTGGGCTCAGTAGGGAGTCTGTTAAGGTTTTCCTTTCCCTCTGCAACCCCATGCCTCATGCACGTTCTTGTGCTCTCAAATAAATAAATCTTAAAAAAAAAAAAGACTAATACAAAAACTGATACAGGACACAAACATGTCAGTCAGAGAAGAAATAAATGGTCCATGAACATATAGAAAGTAGTTCAATCTCGTTTATGGTCACAAAATTATAAATTAAGGTCATGAGGGGTATCTGGCTGGCTTAGTCAAGGAAGCATGTGACCCTTGATCTCAGGGTTGGGAGTTTAAGCCCTACGATGATCGGGTATAGAGATTACTTAAATTAAAAAAAAAAAAAAGACCATGAAATATACTTCTGCTGTGTAGAAGATATTTATAAAGACTGGAGACACCCAGCACCCAGTGCTGGCCAAGGTGCAGGGACACACACTCTAGTAGTGGCAGTCACAGAAACTGGCATATCTCTATGAAGCTTCTTACCTTCAGACCCACCAATTCTACTTCTAGGAGACTTTTTTTTAAACTAAAAAATGTCTAGGAGCACGTGAAATATACACGCACTAAAGCACTGCCTTTGATTAATGAGAAACTGGAAACAACCAACCAGTAAATGACGGCGTGAACGTAACAACATGGGGACGATGGGATGATGTGGAGATGTATCGCAGCAGTGGTGGAGAGAGGAGGTGTGCAGGCCATAAGCCAGACCATGCCTCACATGGACCGAGTGAAGAAAAGTGGGCTGTGGATGAGCATGAGTTGTGTGATCCCATTTTTTTTAAAGATTTGAGGGAGAGAGCACGCGTGCATGTATAAGCGGGAGGGGCAGAGGCAGGAGAGAGAATTTCAAGCCGACTCCGCGTTGAGCACGGAGCCCAATGCGGGGCTCAATCTCCTGATCCTGAGATCATGACCTGAGCTGAAACCATGAGCTGGGATGCTGGCACTTAACCGACTGGGCCACCCAGATGGCCCCGCTGATCCCATTTTTTAAAGAAACACAATGTCTCTGTGTTAGTGTGTACATGGACGAAACTGGAGAAATGCTTACTAGCCCATTTACAGAGGATGGGGAGAGATGTTAAGGACTTTCACTTTCTGTATAGAACATTTCCTAATGTCCATTTTGGTTTTTTTCAAACACACCTATTTTTGTAATCGGGGGCCGGGAGGGGAAATGTTATGTACTGGTGCGGGAGCAGCAGACAGGGCAATAGAACAGAACCCGTCGGGACGCATGGCAATCGACATCATTATAAAGGTGACATCTGCAACCACTGGGGAAGATTATTTCATATACTGCACTGGATAACTTTTGGGAAAAAAAGTAAAGTTAGTCCCCTACCTTTTTGCATACACCAAAAATAAATTCCAGGTGGAGTAAAGACTTAAGTGTAAAAAATGAAACCCTAAGAAGAAAATACAAATGAATGTTCGTATAATCTTGGGGTGAAGGAGGCCTTTCTAGGAAGGATATCAAAGGCAAAAACTATAAAAGACAGATTGAACTATCTAAAAATGTGCAACTTCTATATACCCCCAAAGGCACCACTGAAATCCTAGGAAGCGCTCCAGGTCTGACACCAGGCTCCCTCTTGCACAGAGTTTTGTCTTGTCTTCTAGCCCCGCAGTGGCACGTTACAGCTCCAAGTTCTTGGAATTTAACATCTCAAACACAGATTCTACATGTTTTCACAAGGCTCTGGCAGGGAGGTAGCAAGGGCTAAGAAAGCTCTCCCTGCCTCAGAGGAGGGGGGCGGGCGGGGTAAGAGCGACCCCAGGCGGCTGGGCGGAGGGAGGAGTTCCGATGAGCTGGGGGAGGATTGGCTGGGCTGGAGGTGCAGCGGAAAGAGAGGCTAGAGCGGAGACAGCCCGGGAGCCTCCCGGCTGTGCCAGGTGTCACCGGGTGAGGGCGCCAGGCTAGATGGGAAGCTGGCTTGGACCCACCACATAGGGAGGCTGCGGAGCTGGGACACCCGCGCCGACCAGGGCCTCCGGAGCCACAGGGGCGGCGCTAACCGGCGCCAGCAGAGGTCACTGGGACGCGAGCTAAGCGAGAGCTCCTCTGACCTCCCTGGCCCAGGGGAGGCCCCTCCTCCACGTTTGCTCCCGGGGTTTTGGTGGACCGTCTCCCGGGCTAAGTGGGGGTGCCCGAGGGCTGGCCTCGAAGGCGGCTGCACGGGGTTGGGGGGTGGGGAGGCGGCCCAAGGGCGGCTCACCTGCAGGGCTGTGCCCCCCAGCTCCCGCTGGGCGCTCATGTTCAGCAGCAGGTCCAAGGCCGTCTGTGTGGCCATTGCCGTGGACTCCTCAGCGCCTGGGTTGGGGGAGACGGGAGCCTGAGAGCTGGCCACCGTCCCCTCTCCCTCCGCGGGGCCCCAGCGCAAGCCCGGCCCCCGCCAGGATCCCCAGGCCCCCACCTTCCCCCAGAGCTCACCTTGCTGGTAGATGATGGTGGCGCCACCAAGCGTGTCAGAACAGAGCAGTGGGGGGGTCTCGGGTGCCTGGAAAGGTGCTGCTTCTGGGGGAATCTGCGGGGTGGGGATGTGGCCAAGCCTGAGAGGGGGCAGCTCTCACTGGTTGCCAAGCGCCTCCTACCGGTCGGTCGCTTTACATGCGTCGGCTTGTTTCATCTCCACACAACTACCTCTCAAGGGATTTCTCAGCTCAGCGCAGACCCAGGCTCAGAGAAACAACGGGCTACGATGCCACCAGTAGTAAGTAGCAGAACTAGGATCTGAACACAAGGCTGACACCTGAGCCTGTGTTCTACCTGCACATAGTGGTGGTCCATCTTTTGGGGCAGGGGAGGGGGAAGCAATGTTCTTAGCTATGATACTACTTCCTGGCCTGCCTTGCAGCTAGGTAGTGTGGCCTTGTGGCTAAGCAGGGGCTTCTGGTTAAGTTCACCGGGAAGACAGATGGGGAGATGGCAGGCTTCCTTTCTGCCTTTCTCCCATCCCTTCCTCCTGCTTCTTGCCTGGGATGTGGCTAGAAGGCTGGAGCTCCTGCAGCTATACTGGACCATGAGGCAACCACAAAGATGGAAGTCGTATGCCTAGGATGGCTGGGAAAAAATATTGACAGAGCTTGGTCCCTGATGACTGACCATGGAGCTGCCACACTAGCTCTGGGCTGCTGACCTTTGGGTTCATTTCTGAGAGAATGATAAACTACTACAGTTAAGCTACTGAGGTCTCATTCTCTATTTCTAGCCATGGAAAGCCACTCCCACTGTGAGCTTATTAGAGGTCACAGACTTATGAGGTCTGTGACCTCATTGGCTCTTTACCACAATCAGAGAGGCAGGGACCATTTTGTTGTCCCCAATATGCCAGTGAGGATGCTGGGGATGGGAGAGGTGACGGGACACTGTCATCCTGGCCCATGCCCCACTCCCAGTACCCTCTGTCGGCTGCCTGCTTGGCTGAGCTTACCTCAGGAGGGCCCGGGGAGCTTGGGGGTGGTCCGGGGGCTGCGCTGTGCTGCTGCTTTAGCTCCTCAATCTGCTGCAGAGAGAAGAAGGGGCGACGGCGGGAAGGGGGTTCCTCAGGGTGGCGCCGTCCCCACTCCTCAAAGCTGCTGGCGTGTCGGCAACGCACGTGCAGGCGCAGGTTCTTCTTGTGCCGCGTGCTGAAGTGGCAGTATTCACAGGCAAAGGGCTTGGCCCCTGTAGGCACAGGCAGACGGACACTCGGGCTTTCCCACCCCACACCCCCAGGGCAGGAAGCCTTCCATGGGCCCCCGGGGCCTCTCCAGCTGCCTCCCCGCCAGTGTTGCGCGCCCCAGCTTGTTCTGGTGGCCAGGGCCAGACAGGAACAGAGCCCACCCTCCACGCTCACAGCCTTCCTCGGAGAGTCCTAGTTTCACATTACAGGACCACACACTTCTCTTACGAATCATTGCCCCCAGGTAGACAGGAATCTGGCCCCCAGGCGTGTCTAATTTCCCCCAGTGAGCCCATCAGAGGCACAGGCCCCAAGGAGGATTAAGAACCAACTGTTTCATGCACCTTCTGCATGCGTGAGGACGGGGCCCCCGTCAACACGTCTCCCGTCCGGTACCCAGCACAGATAGGGCTCAGGGAGCAGAGCTCACAGCCAAGGAAGGCTCAGACCGGGCAAGGTGGCCCATGACCACGCAGAGAAGAGCCGGCTGAGCTCGGTTGTAAGGGGGTGATTCCCTTACAACAGAGCAGCCGAGGCTACTCTCACGGCAGGACAGGGGCTGCTGGTGGGACAGGGCTGCTGAGGTGGAGGAAGAGGACAGCACTGAGGCTGCGACTGTGGGCAGGGTGAGTGGAGGGCTCACCACGGTGGGGGCGGGGCTGGCCTGACCTGTGTGCTTAACAGCCACGTGGGAGAGCAGGAAGTCCTCCCGGAAGGTGCGGTAGGGGCAAAAGCTGCACTTGAATGGCTTGTCACTGACATGGGACAGCTGATGGTTCAGTAGTGCCTTCTTGTCCTCACAAACAAACTCACAGAACTCGCACTTGAACCTGGCGGTGGTGAGAGGGAGGGAAGCTCAGCAATCACGTGGGGGGCTGGGGCGGGGTGCTCCAGCCCTGGGGTCCCCTCCCTCCTCGGAGATATACCTGCGGTTGGCAACAGCTTGGATGTGTGTGAGCAGGTGCATCTTGAAGGTGTAGCGCTTCTTAAAGGACTTTCCACACTGTGAGGGGTAAGTGAGTTAGATGGGGGACTGTCCAGGGAGACCCCTTCACCCTGCCCCCAGCTCTTGGCCCCAGCCACCTTGTCACACATGTGGGGTTTCTCGGTGCTGTGTGTCTTCATGTGCTGTGTGAGTCTCTTCTGCATCGGATAGATACGGCCACACACAGGGCAAGGGAAGGAGCTCAGCTTTGGGGCCTGGGAAGGGACAAGAAGGGACCAGATGAAGAAAGAAGGAGGAGGAGAGAGGGTGAGACCTCACTTCCTGCCCCCACCCTCACAAGCAACCCTCAAGCAGGCTCCCTTCCTGGGCCAGGGTCCCAGACTCACCGGATCTGGCCTCTTCTTCCTGGGGGCAGAAAGGCATAGGAGTCAGACTATTGCTTCCCCAAGCCCACCTCAAACCTTCTCACATTGACCGGACCCACCCTCAGTTCTGAGTGTTTCTAATACCCAGCCAAGCCCTTCTCTCAGAGCAGGGTTTCCCCAAGTGGAGTTCGCTAGGAAAATGCTAAGAGGCATGCTGTAAATAAATTCTAGAATGGTGCCTTCTTCCTTTCTTTGTCACAAAATAAAATGTGCATTTTAAAGCCCTGAGAAGTCCTGCAGAAAGAGTTAGTGAAACAGGTGTTTGAACTGATGTCCATAATTTTACCTCTCCCCTGCCTGCCCTGCCTTTTTTAAAGAAAACCATAAGCATCATAGAGAGCAGGCTTTCCCACAAGCACATTTTCAAAGTCATTTTCCTGGGGCACCTGGGTTACTCTCAGTCATTGAGCATCTTCCTTTAGCTCAAGTCATGGTCCCAGAGTCCTGGGATCCAGCCATACATCGGGCACCTTGCTCGGCAGGGAGCCTGCTTCTCTCCCTCTCCCACTTCCCCCTACTTGTGTTCCCTCACTGTGTCTCTGTCAAATAAATAAATTTTTTTTTTAAATCTAAAAAAAAAGTCCCTGTCCTCGTGAACTACTGTATCCAACCTCAGCTCACACAGCACACCAAGTGGAGTGAGCTCTTTCCTGAAGCTGCAGATCTAATGACACCTCGGTGAGCACTCTCAGGGCCCCTAAGGATTCGTTCCTCCGCCCAGCTGTCCTGTGTCTGCTCTGTCCGTCCTCTGAGAGTTGGGAGTCTACAAGACCTTCAGATGATTTCCTGAACTCCTTTAGGTAGCCCCTCAACAATGACTGTCCTGATCTTACAAAGCATGCGGCAGGGAAGAGACGGGACAAGAGCCCTCCAGGCCCTAGTACTGCTCTGAGCCAAGTGAGCTGGGATGAACGGCCTTATCTTTCTGCTGTCTGTAAGTGCTGCCAATGGGGTGGCCCAGGGCAGGTGCTCAAGTAAGGGGGAAACACAGTGATGCTGGGCCTCTGCTTCCCGCCCTGGCCCATTCCCCTGGCCTGCACAAACTGACCGGTCTCGACTGTGCACAGCTGCGTGACGGACCACGTCCTTCCGGTAGACACTGGTATAGCTGCATTCATCACACTTGTAGGGCTTACTGCCCACGTGATTGAACATATGTTCCTAGGATAGAGGGGAACGACAGTGGGCTGGGTTTGGCCTCCCCTGTACCCTCAACCTGTGCCCATAGCCTTAGGGCTGTCGTGGGTGCAGGCTCACAGAACGAGGGAGCTGGAGCCTATTAGGGCTGGGGACTCTCCCCAATAAGGGCACCTACTCTGCGCTAGGCCCTATGCTGGCTCACCATGTGAGATGGAGGCTCAGAGGGAAGTAACCTTGGCCCCGAGTGACTTGGTGACTGCCAGAGCTTGGAGCCAAGCCCAAGCAGCACGGCTCCAGAGCCTATACCCTCCCCACCGCCCCGGGGACAACCGTCCCCTAGCAGGGTTTTGGTAACAACTTCCAGGCCACATGGCCCTGTCTTGAGGAAGAACTGTGTGCAGAAAGCAGAGGGGCTCTGGCCTGTGCTTCAGGTACCCCCTACTGCGCTCGAAGGCCAACTCTCTGCCTTACTTTGGCCAGGCCAAGCCACAGGTTCCTAGGTCAGTTGAATGGGAAAGTTGATGCCCGCAACCTCTCCAGGCTGCATGGGCATGGAACTTGAGCATGTCTACCATGCCCTGGTAAAACGGCTTAGGGCTGCAGCCAGCCCACTGGCACCTTAGGTAAATGATATAAAAAGGAACTCGTTTCTTGAGACACATTACTGCCATCTACTGGAAAACTTTCTAACATACTAAATGAGACAGAACCCGGCTGTACTGTCATCCACCCATATGTGCGGTGGTGATCAAGTAAATCTCTGCTATCTGCACTGGGCACAGTACCTCTGAGGATGTGACACCACTACACAGTGTGCAGCCTGCACAACTGCCCATGCCGCCCACATCTGAACTTCAGCGCACAGCAGCACACCACTGAATGTGCCCTGCAGAGGAGCAGGAGGGCCCCGCCAATGGCCTGTGAGCGCCACTCCATCTTGGCACTGCCCGCCAGCCCTTGCCTCCATCCCAGTGCCTCCACCCCCATGCTGTGTACCTTGAGTGAGGACCAGCGGCGGGAGCGATAGCTACACTGCAGGCACCTGAAGAGCTGGGGGTCCCCGGCCTCGTGGGAGTTGACGTGGAAGCGCAGGTCCTCATGGGACAGGAAGCGGGAGCCGCAGATGCGGCACAGGAAGGGCCTCAGGAGCGGTTTGGGGGACTTGTAGTAATACCTGCCAGGAGGGCACAGGGGAGAGTCTGGCTGGGCTGCGCCCCCGGCTGTCTCCCCTACCCCCATCCCTGCTCTACATACTTGCGGTATTTCTTGCCTAGGAAGCGCCTGGAGGGCCGGCCACGGCGGCGGGGCGGGGCAGCAGGCTCATCCTGGCAGGAGGGGGCCGCGTTCTCCGCATCTGACTGGCTCACACCGGGGTCCACGGGGGCCCTGTCGGCCTTGCCCAGGGCAACCAGGCATCCTGGGCCCGATGAGCTGGGAGCCTCGGGGTCTGGGGGCTCTGGAGGGCTCTGCCCACTCTGGGAACTCACTAGAGGCTCTCCTTCCACACCTGCCATGGACATGGTCGCAAGTCAGCTACGGACACACCAGGCCAGATGCTGACAGGTGTGCCAGAGGCCAGCCAAAATATCTCCCTAAAACACGGTCACAGACCGATGATGGGGACGTCAGGTCACCGGACAGGCGCAGGTGGCCCGCAGTTACCGACTAGCACAGCACAACCCCCGCCCAGCAGTCCACAGCGGCAGCAAAAGAGCTGGGACCTCCCTGTTGAGAGACCCGTGTACTGCTTGAGCCTGTACACGGGACTTCCGTGCTTCCTCAGGCAAAGCCGCTGCCCTGAGTCTCATTTTCTCATCTGGCAAGTGAAGATGATGACTGCTGCGCTAGTGACCTCAGATTCTATAGAGTCTGGGAGTGACAGCAGGTACTTTAACATTGGTTTTCCCTAGGGAGGCTGGCAGGCTGGAGGGCAGACAGGAAGAAGAGAGGAGATATCACATCACTGTACATAATCAGAACCTCTAGAAGTCTGAGCAATCTGAATGTTACCTATTCAAAAACATCAGCAGCATTCCAATGTAACATTTTAAAATTTATCCATTTTTAAATTTTTATTTATTTGTCAGAGAGAGAGAGAGGGAGAGCACAACCAGGCAGAGTAGCAGGCAGAGGCAGAGGGAGAAGCAGGCTCCCTGCTGAGCCGGGACCACCGCCCCCCCATACCCCGCCCAATGTAGGACTCGATCCCAGGACTCTGGGATCATGACCAGAGCCGAAGGCAGCCACTTAACCAACTGAGCCACACAGGGCATTCCTCAATGTAACAATTTAAGAATGAAAAGTGATCTAGGGACACCTGGGTGGCTCAGTCGGTTCAGTGTCTGGCTTTGGCTCAGGTCATAATCCCGGGGTCGTGGGATGGAGCCCCCACTGGGCTCCCCGCTCAGTGAGGAACCTGCTTGTCCCTATTCCTCTGCCCCACTGCTCCCCTGGCTTGTGCTCCCTCTCTCACTCACTCTTTCTCAAATAAATAAATAAAATCTTTTAAAAAGAAAATGAAAAGTGATCTAGACAATCCTGGTGACATTCTGCTTCTTGACAGGGGTGCTGGCTATACAGCGGTATTCCCCTTGTCAAATTCCCTAAGCTGGGCACTTAGGATATGTGAGCTTTCCCATACAGATATTAATAAGGTTTTTAAAATCTCATTTTTAAAAGGATGCTAAAAAAAAATGTAAGAATCTGCCCTAGACTGCATATATAGAAACAGCTGCCGTGTATTTTTGTGTCTTTACACCTTAGAGCAATCCTGAAAGGCAGGTGATATCACCTCCATTCATCAAAAGGCAACAGGGGATTCAAGAGGCAAAGTCACATGCTGTGGGTCACATGGCCAGTAGGTGGCAGAGCCATCATGCCCATGGGGCTTTCCAGTCCACAGCTTGTAATGCTCTAAGTCAGGGCTCCCTAGACATAGTTTTAGGTCTCAGACTGGTTCTCATTTCAGTAATGATACTTAAAATTTATCTTCTGGGGTGCCTGGGTGGCTCAGTGGGTTAAAGCCTCTGCCTTCGGCTCAGGTCATGATCCCAGGGTCCTGGGATCGAGCCCCACATCGGGCTCTCTGCTCGGTGGGGAGCCTGCTTCCCCCTCTCTCTCTGCCTGCCTCTCTGCCTACTTGTGGTCTCTGTCTGTCAAATAAATAAAATCTTTAAAAAAAATGAAATAAAATAAAAAATAAAATTTATCTTCTATCTTCTTAGTTCAGTTATAAAAGTTCCAACTTCTCCTGTGCTGTGATACCTTACCACTTTACCACTGAGGAGCCTATCACTTCTTAACTCAGGGTTTCTCCAGCTCGTCTGAAAGGGCTGGCCCTTTACGAGGAGGCCTGCAGGTCTCCTAGGTTTGCTATGTGCTCCCCTGCATGGCACACTTGGTCCCCAAGGCTCTACAGAAGGTGGACAGGTGGCCCCACCTACGACCAACTCTCACCACCTGGGAGGTCCGAGGTCTCTAGCCGAGGCAGCTTCCGAGGCCGGCCAGGTCTCCTTCGGGGTCTTGGCGTACTGGGAGTAGGGCGCTGGGGCCGTAGCTGCCGGCCCCGGGGCTCATCCTCAGCCGGATTGTAGTCACTGTCCTCTGTGGGGACCGCAAGAGAAGGTAGGGATCAGTCCTGGGCCTGTCCTTTCATGCCTGACCCCTGGCCTGGTCTCCCTGGGAAGAGGCTCTCTTCCCATCTCTGCCTGCTTCTCCTCCAAGCCCACCAACCAGTTGATGCCTCCTTCAGAAAGCCCTCCTGACCTCCCACTGGCTCTGAGTGCCTCTAAGCCCCTGCAATCCTTTCTCTGCACTTTCCCAGACTCCTGCCACTAACTCAGCGCCACTGCATGAACTAGAAAAACATGCCCCTTCCTTAAGACACTTTACAGCCATTGTTAGAAAATAGTTGGAATAAACATTCAAATCTACCAACTCTGATGACGATGCTCTCCAGTGCAGGAGCCACTAGCCATATGTAATTATTGAGCACTCATGTTTGGTCTACACTGAGACACTGGATTTCCAAAAACTAGTATAAAAAGAGGAAGTAAAATAACCCACTGATAATTATGATTAAGCTTCATTTTATCTTCTAACCTTTTAAAATATAGCTACAAAAAAAGTACACGGGCTGGTCTTCTATTTCTGTTGCACAATTGTGAATGTGGCACTCTTAAATGTGGTGCTTTTTTTAGTGCACAGCCTGCACAACTGCACACAGAGATCCTGACCCCAATGCCCCAACTTCTGTCTTATACCGGAGGCACCTGCATGGTTAAACCTGTGCCAGTTCCTCTTTCCCAGCCCTCCACGTGGGCCAGATGCAGCTAAGTATTTGGAGATGGGTATGGTAGTGGCACACCTGGGAGCCACAGTGGCCTACCCTCTAAGTCATCGATGGCACCGGCATCAACGATGTCATCATCATCTTCCTCCTCTGGCCCCTCTTCCTCCCGGGTCTTGGCTGAGGTGCCCCACTTCCGCAGACGCCCCTTCTTCCCAGCTGCAGCTGCCGCTGCTGCAAAGATCAGAGAAGCTTTGCCACGACTGGGTCTTGGCCCTCCACCCCAACCTGTGCAGCCCAGCCAGTGAGGCAGCTATCAGTCCACCTGGTCGGAAGTGCCGCTCCCGCATGTGGCGCAACAGTGTGGCTTTGGTGCTGCTCCGGTACTGGCACATCTTGCACTTGAACTGCTGGACCACCACCACCTCCATCATGGCCTCCAGGCTCTGCAGGTCTGGCTCCTCGGTGCCAGAGCCTGGGGGTGGCTGCGTGGGGGAGCCAGGTCTACCCTGTGCCTCCTCCGGTGGCTCCAGGCACGTGGATGTGGGGCCGTCAGCCAGGGCCTCGATGGCTGCCAGGCTGTGGGCCAAGGTGGAACTGGACATCGGCGAAGCCATGGGGGCACCTGTGGGTGGGTGAGTGAATCAGAGGAGAGGGGAAACAGAGGGGTAGGTGGGCCACGAGTGACAGCTGCCCCTCCCAGGCAGGACCAGGAATCCTAGGACCCAGCTCCCCAAAGAGGGAGCAGCGGACAACCTGCCAAGATCACACAGTGTGTTTGTGGAGGAGCCTCCCTCCCCAGCTCCCTCACTCACTGCAGGGCTCCCCGGGGCTGCTGCGCAGGGTCTTACCATCGTCTGGGCCCTGCAGGATCAGGTACCGGGCCGTCTCAGCCCCGCCATCCTCAGCACTGGTTACGGTGATACAGCCTGGGCAGAGATGGGGGAGGGGAGTCCCAGCTGACAATGACAACTGTTACTGCCCACACTCATTCTGGCTCACCTGCACCAACTACAATCCTGCTGCGCTGCCCTGCCCCGCCCGAGCCTCACTCACCCTGTCCTTGCCCGTGCACCCCTGCCCAGAGCAGGGCTGTAGGGAGGTCTGGTGTGACAGGCTGGCCGAGCAGCTGGCTCACCATCACACAGATGCCACGGCTACCCCAGCTGCCCCACCTCTGACCTTTAACTAAAACCTGGAGAGTACCCCTCCCTGTCTCCAAACTCCCCCAAGGTCAAGGCCTAGCCCCTTTACCACTTTTTCTCAGGGTTGGCTTCCCACATGACCCCAAGGCTTTTTGAAGTCTGTGGCCTTTATACACACCATTGATAACAGAGGGTACAGTGTGGTAAATCACGAGTACAGACTCTCACAAGCTCCCCTCCGAGCCTGTGGTCCCCGACCTGCTGGTCTCAGTGGGTCCTCTGTACCTGAGACTTCTCTTCTAGGCTGTGAGGATGGTAGCACCTATCTTTTGGGGTTACCAGGAGAATTAATGAGGTACTGTATGTAAAGTGCTTAGAGAAAACCCCAATACATAACCAGGTATTATAGTTTCCATGTTCATTCAGTGTTTATCAATGCCAAGCACGATATGACAGTGTTTCCAGATACCTTCACCTCATTTACCACTATGAGACAGGGGCTACTGTGTCCATGTGACACACTTAGAGCGATAGGGTTATCTGCCCAAGTTTGCACAGCTGGCTTGGCTAGACCCCGCAGGAAAGCCCCATGGGCTGACTCTCGCTGCCTCTGTGGGACTCACTTGGGATTAGGTCCGGCCCAATGGTGGACTCGATGATCTTGTCGATGGCTGAGCCCAGGTCTGAGGAAGAAGCCGTGCAGTCGGACACCAGCATATTGGGGTCTGGGAGTGCGCTGGAGTGCACCAGGGCTGGGGGGCCACCTGTCACCCCTGCCACTGGCCCATGGGACACAGAAGATGAATCAGGCAGGTAGCCATGGGGCAAGGGGTCTGTGCTCGAGCTGCTCTCAGATACTTCCTCCTGGGTGACAGAAAACAAGGAGAGAGGAATTTCAGGAGCCGTGACGGGGCAAGGCAGTCGCCTGCCACCCACTAGATCGACCTCCGTGGCCCGAAAACATGGTGAGTGGAGCCATCCACATCGTCAGGCCCACTGATGACTGGCAGATGCCTCTCAGTCACAGAGCCACCAAAGAACAAGTTCCAGGGTCTCCAACTCTGCTCAGGTAAGAGGCCCCATAATCCCCACACCTACCCAACAGCCTGGCAGAGCTATTTTCACGGAACTTTTGAATTAGCTCTCCCCTCTGCCTGAAATGCTTCTCAGCGTTGCACCATGGCTGATTCCTACCCAGCCTTCTCACCACCATTTAGCTGGTACCTCTTCTAGGAAGTTAACCCTGACCCCCAGGCCAAACGAGGACCTCTCTGTCCTGGGTGCTACAGTCACCTGTGTCCCCTCATCATGGTTCCCTCTGTAGTGTAATGTCTCCTAGGTCAGACTGTATTTTCCATAAGGGCCAGGCCCACATCTGTCTTGTTCCCTGCTGTATCCCCAGAGTTCAGCACAAGCTGGGCACATGGTAGGCCCATCTCTGCTGAATTAACAAAACCCTTGGACCCCAAAAGGGAGTCCATTTTTGTTCAGCTCTATACTGTGATGCCTTGGAAGTCATTCATTATCTTGCAGGTAATAAGAACAGTAACGGGTAATACCTCCTGAATGTGTACTATGTGCTGAGCACTGTTTTAATTGCTTTGTATGTATTAATTCAGTTAATCCTCACAAAAACCCTATTGAGGCAGATATATTTATCCCTTCCCTCTTTACAGATGAGAAAACTGAGCTAGAAGTAGGGTAGCTTGTCCAAGATCAGAGAGCCAGGAGGAAATGATAAAGGTTTCACAGAACGTGTCCAAGAGTACTCCCTCTGAGGCCGGTCTTCCTGCTCCATTTTATAGACAGAAGAATGAGGCTCCCGGTGAATCAGAGGCGGAGCCAAGACTTGAAGCAGGACAACTGCATCTCAAAGAGTGAGGACAGTAGGTAGTGGAGTGGATAAGACTACAGCTTAGATTTGAATCCTGGCTCTGTCGGCTCTCTGTGCCTCCGTTTCCTTCCCTCTAAGATGTGCAAGAGTGATATATACCCCTTACGAGGTATGAGGCTTAAATGAGAAAATCCATGTTAGGGGCTTGGCGAGGTGCCTGACACACGATAAACCAAAAACAAGTATTAGTTACAAGCCAGCCTTTCTGGCTGCTTCCCTTGGCTGCCAGGCATGCTGCCTGCGGTCCCTGCCTCCACCCACGCCGGCCAGCAAGGTCCATACCAGAGAGCTGCTGCCGCGGTCGGAGCTTTGCCCCACGCCAGAGTCGTCGGCCTCCGCTGGCCCCCGAGCGGCAGCGGCGTCGCTGCTGTCGGCCGACACCGCTTCAGAGGTGCCCACGCCCAGGCCACTCTCAGAGGGCTCCTCGGGCCGGCCAGGACCAGGGGCCGCGTCGCTACTGCTCTCCACCTCGTTCTCCTCCATTGGCTCGGGGAGCCGCCTGACAACGAGGCGCAGGATCTGGATCCTTCACTCTGCAAGAGGAGGTGACGCGGGCTGAACAGGTGGGCCTCCTCCCCGGCCCGGGCAACCACGGCCCACCCAGCTGCGCCCGTGTGCCCATTTTGCAGGTGCAAAGACTGAGTCTCCGACGGGGAGGGGCTTTCTCGTGTACCGAGAGACAGGAGCCTCGGGAAAACAGGACCGAGAAGCCTGGCCTCCCAGTCTGGAGCCCTTCCCCGTCCCCGATAGGGTGGTCAATGGCCGGTAATCTTGACCCTCCTCGTCTCTCCTCCATGACTCCCGCAGCGTGGTTCGCTCTAAGAGCCCGCTCCGAGCTCAGTGGTTTAGCCCTTCGGCCCCCCGAGTTCCCCCGGGTGCGGGGTCGGTGGTACAGCCCGCAGGCCCCCTGGGTCAGTGGCTCGCTCCCCCCTCCCCTGGTTCCCATGCGGAGGGGGCTGACAGCGACGGTCCCGGGGCCTGGCGACTCGGGGCTGTCCCCGGCGCTGCCTGCGCTCCAGGCCCGACGCCATCTTGTGGCGGCGCCGGGTTTCCGCTCAGGCAAGTGCGAGAGCGACTAAAGGGCCTGGGACCCCGGGGCCCTGTTCGGACAGCCCCGCCGGCCCGGGAGCTCGCCGCCGGCTATCCCCGCAGTCTGCCCCCACTTCGCGGCAGGGTGCAGTGGGGCGACCTGATTCTACCCGATGCTCACCAGACGCTTTCGTAGCCGCACTCCTCTCCGACTCCGGCATCGACGAGGTCGCCATTCTCTTTCCACCGCTGCGGAGGGACCCGTCGGCCCACCGTGGGCCGGGACTACTTCCTACGCCGACCCAGAGAAAGACAGCTTTCCGGTGTTTCAAAAGTTTGTCCTGAGGCCTCAGAACCATGGCCCAGTCCGGAGAGAGTCTAGTATTTTATATGTGGTGAAGTATGGGTGACAGAGTCCGCGATGGATTGGGGACTACTTTCTGTCTTGGCGGAGGGCTACACTGGGAGTGGTTATGTGACGTCACTGCTGGGTCCCTTCCCTAGGCCGCAGGGTTGGGCGCGGCGAAGGCTGCCCTACGGCCTGGGGGCGTGGCCCTCAGCGGCCTGACCACGCCCCTCCCGGAACAGCTACTAAGGGTGTGAGGCGCAGGGAAGGTTTTGACTTGGCCGGAGAGGAATAAACATTAGTCATTCCGTTTGGCTCAGGACCGATGACTTAACGCTCTTATCGAGCCTAATCGAATCCTTCCTAATTAGGTTTGATGTGTCCTGGGAGGAGGGGAACATACAATCCTTGTACAGATGGGAAACTGAGGCCCGGAGATGGGAAGTGGCTGGTCCAAAGTCACATAAGGGCACTCCGGAGGCAAGTGCCAGTGGCTAGATTCGGGGAAATGCAGAGGAGTCAATACCCGGCCCTTAGTGAACTTTAGTCATACGTATTTGTTGGCATTAGTAGAGCTGGAGGTCGAGACATTCTTCACAGCCTTGCTTTGCAGCCCTTCAGGTTTGCCGCTCTTCTGATGCCGCAAATGCCATCTTTGGCACTACTTTCTTTTCTTTTCTTTTTTTTTTTTTTTGGCACTACTTTCTATTTAAGCCTATATATCATTTTGTGAGGGAGCCTGGTGCCTTGTTTTGTCCTTAAATCTGTGTTACACGAGTTATTTTCTTCAATTGAAAAATATAAATGGGTCGAGGGGAGGAAGACTTCAAAAAACTTAAAAAAAAATCAACCCTATTTAAAAAGGCAAAGTGTGCTTCGAGCTGTTATAATTTGTGTGTACTTGAGTATGAGGGGGTTTCCCTGGTCCTTTACTAGAAGCAGGTTTTCATAGAGGGGATAGAGCATCAGGCCTCTGGATGGGCTGGGTCCCCTCTTCACCCCCCTCCCTCCCATCCAGCAGGACCAGGCCCCCAGAGCAGGCCTGGAAAGCTAGGTCAACAGTGGCACGATGGTAGGTTGATTCTGCACTCCCTGCACAGGTTTCCAATGAGGACCTGATTTCTTACCTCTCCAGAGCCACCCCCAACCCTCACCACTTGCCTGCAGGATATAACCCGCCTCTGACCATGTCACCTCTCCCAAGGATGTTGTAGCCCCACAGCACGCATTCCCATCCCCAGCCCAACTAAGGCTCAGTCCTAACCTTGGCCTTTGCCACCGGATCACAAGATTGCAGGATATCACAATGCAAAAGGTAACAACTTCATCATGGAACAGAAGAGGAGCCCAAGATCCAGAGAGGGAACGCTCTCGACCCAAGGTCATGGCTCCTTGGAAACAGCATATCAGAATCCTTCCATTACAAAGACAAGCAAGCCTACCCTGCATATCCAGGGTTCTTCCCACCCAAACATGCTGCTTGTCATTTATTGCCTCCCCTTTGAGGGGGAGACTTCTTAGAAGCACCAAAGAAGCTCTGGGTCAGAAGGACAAAGTGAACCATGGAGGAGAATGCTGAGGAGAGGAGCCAAGAGGTGAAGAGGAGGGAAGCACTTGCAAATGAGCACCGCTCACATGTCAGACACTGCACACACACTTTGCTGCATCCTGGTGCCTTAAAGAAGCAGGTTGTTATCATCTTCCGTCGTAGAGAAGAGGAAGCTGAGGTTCAGGGAGGGAAAGTGACTTGTCCAAAGTCACACCACCAGGAGGGTGGGATATGGACAGACGCAGGTCTGTGGGATTCAAAAGCCCCAAGCAGTTTAGGCGCCCTGTGCTGTATGCTTAGTAATCACAACACTTACAATGCTCTGTGCCATTCATTGTTCTAAGCACTTTACCTACATCACAACCCCGCTGTGAGGTAGTTGCTGTCATTAACTCCACTTTACGTACAAAGAAACAGGCACAGAGTATGAAAGGAATCTAAGTAGGGGGTAGAGCTGGGATTGAAAACCAGACAGTGTGGCTCCAGACGCCACACTTTCAGATCGCTGTGCCTTTGCTCATGCAGTAACTGTATTAACAGGTGACACTTTAACTGCTGTTTCCTGAGCCAGGCAGGGCTAGTTTCCCATTTTACAGATGAGGAAGCTGACGCCCAGAGAAAGTGACTTGCTCAAGGTCACACAGCCAAGTTTCCTGGTCTAATGGAGAGGGTTGCGACTCCAGGCCAGAACTCCTGCAGCAAGTAATAATTGCACTGGGAGTGTTTACTGTGTGCTCACCAGGTACCCTATGCACAGGAGGGGCTTTACCTGCATTTTTAACCTGGAATCATCACAACCAGAGATCCTAGACACTCTCCATATTCCCATGTGACCAATGAGGAAATGGGCTCAGGAGCAATGAAGTGACTTATCCAAGGTCATGTACTTGGTCAGCAGAGCTGGCATTCAAACCCTGGTTTCCTTCCTCCCAGTCTACTGCTCCCTCCACTGTACCAGATGCCCCAGGAAGGCAGCAGAGCTAAGAGTAGACAGTCAGCAGGTGGGTGCTCTGGGCTCAACTCTACCTTCTGTCTCCATGCCCACGGCCATCTACGGGTTTAGCTAAACCTGTTCTTAAAAACCTATTTATAGCTTAAAACTGTAACACCACTTGAGATAATGAATCCCTTAAGTTGACTTCCCATGGTGTAAATTAAGGCTTGCTTTCATTTGTCCGAAATGTTTCTCTTTGAGGATTGGGGAGAGGAAGGGTCGGGCAAGGCCTTAGAACCAGGACACTTGGATTCAGAAAAGAGGCTGTGGTCCGAGCAGTATTCGCCGGTGATGGCAATTCCTGAAACCCAGGAAGCAGGGGACATTTATGCAAGTACCTCTTCTGATCATCGCAGAGACATGAAGGATGGGCAGTGTGTGGCTGTTATGCCTTTTAATGGATCTCGTTTCCTGTCATATTCCCAACACTTAGCACAGTTTCACAGTCATGAGGAAGCCACTAGATCCCTATCTGTTGAATGAATCAGTGGACCCTCCTTTTATAGGCTAGGAAACAGAGACACAGAGTGTCAGGGGTCTACCCTGGAAAATGAGACCCATACCAGATGATTCTAATATGGAGAATTCATTACAAAGTTGTGCGGTGAGCAGAAATCAACCAGGGGAAGCGGAGGCAAACCTGAGGTTAGCAGCAACTCAGGAAGCCAAGACCCTCTCTCGCTTAGGGCTGGAGATGTACAGGGAGGAGATGGCATCCCCAAGACCAGAAACCAGAGCCACCCAGAGAGGAGCAGGGACCACAGTGGGCCTTTCTTGCAGGACCCGTAACTATGGAGGAGACCTTAAAATTGCTGCAACCGCTCCCCACCTCCAAGGCTGAGAGAGATGGGGAGAAATACCCCAGCTTCTCCTTTCATCTTACTCTGATCTCTCCAGGGCTTCCCATTGGCCGAAACAACCAGAAGCCAGTTGTCAAAGGAGCTCAGGAAGCATGGTTCGCATGGACCAGCCTCCGCCATAAGGAGTGGAGCAGAAGGGGTGAATGGATTCGAGATAAACAGAAAAATTAAGTGGCCCAAATAGTCCCACACCTAGGAAGGAGCCACATAGTGTGTTATGCTGTTAGGCAGTTCTCCCTGGCCTCAAACTCCATTTGATCCTTCTAAGGCTCTTTATCTCTTTATCTTTCCACATTCACCTTAAGCATTACCTCCTCCAGGGAGCCTTCCAGGACTGCTTCCCAGCAGAGCTGCTATCTCCCTAGTGTATGTTTCCCCAGTACGTTCTGCACGCCTCTGCCGTGGCGTACACCACTGTGTGATTATATCACAGCTGCCGATTATCCCCCAGCCTCCTCAACAGATTTGGCCTCCCAAGTCCAGGCCCAGGTCCAATTTTTTTTTTCCCCCTGCTGGGAAGGAAATAGTTGTTGAATGAATCAGGGGCAACCTGGGGTCTGAAGTCAGGCCACACCTAGGGTCCAAATAGTCAAGTATATTTATATGTTGTATGACCTTGGCCAGCGCTCATTCCCTTTGTCTTAGTTTCCTCACCTGTAAAATGGGAATAACAATACAAACTTTGAAGAGTAAATGGGAGAGTGTGCAGGAACACAGTTGAGCTCAGGTCCTGGAATCAGACTGTCTACAGTCAGTCCCTGCCTCTTCTTCAAGTTACTTACTTCTACTCCCTCACCTATAAGTTGAGGATATGAATACTTCCTCTGGTATCTGGAGCATTAAACGAACCAACGTATGGAAAAGAGTGCCGGCTGGCAGTGAATGGGCCTGGTGTCAGCATGGGTGGTCCCATCCAGCAGCTGAACACTGAATTGGTAGGTTCTCAGTGATATATAGCAAACAGGGATCTTGATTTTGTTGTTTACCACTGCAGCTCCATAACCAAGAACAGTGGCTGGCACATAATAGGTGCGCAGTGGCTGGCACATAGTAGATGCTCAGTCAGTCTTTGTGAGGCCAATCAACAGTACTGAGTTATATGTGGGGATGTTATTCTGCCCCGGCCCCTGCCACCACCGCAGAGGATGCCTGTTCTATACCAGCCCAACCCAAGCCTGGAGACATCTTATTCAGGAGGGGAAAGTGGGGACTGCTGGGCCTATTGGGAGGAGCTGTAAAGGGCAGGAGACAAAGGTCTAGAGCAAAGGACTAGCAAAGGGATCTAACGTTTATTGAGCACCTACTGTGTCCAAATGCTGTACATACCTGATTGCATTTCATCCTTGCAGGAGCCTGCAAAGTGCTGAACCTTACCCTCCCTTTACAGGTGATGAAATAGCAGTTCAGGGAGATGAGAAAACTCACCCAAGGTTGTGCAGAAATGAAGGGGTACAGCTAGATTTGAACCCTGGACTGTTTTGTTCCAAACGCGTACCCCTTCCACGGTACCAGCTGCCTCCCAGAGGGCAGGAGAATGAAATCTGAGCCTCAAGCCATACCGGAAGCTCCAGCAACCAATCTGGAGGCCAGGCTCAGGCTGAGTGACAGCTTGAGACAGCTTGAGACCCGATTTTGACAGCTGTGCCCAGGCTGGCCCCGAAGAAAGTGTGCTCAGTTCTGGCA